AAATTATATCAAACAATGCCGAAACGATGAATCACACCATGAAGCGAACTATGAACTTACAAATCTTCCAACTTCGAAAACTCGTGCCTAAACCTATCAAATCGATCCGGAATGACGCCAAATTTTGCAGACAAGCCCAAAATGACATAACGAAACTGTTCCAACTCTCGGAATCGCATTCCTACCCCGATATCAAAAAAGTCAACTATGGATCAAACTTCTCAAATTTTCAAACTTCAACTTTTCCAACTTCTGCCGAAACACCTCAAATTACCCTACGGACCTCCAAATCTGGATCCGAGTGCGCGCCTAAGTCCAAAATTACCATACGAAGCTGTTGAGATCACCCACAACCCATTCCGGAGCCATTTACTCAAAAGTCCAATTCCGGTCAAATTCTCACCGTTTAAACTTTCAAAACTAGTTTTCTTTTTCCAATTTGACTCTGAATCATCCGTTAACTGAATTCAACCATGCACACAAGTTGATACAGATAATATAAAGCTTCTCGTGACCTCAAACTGATAAACCAGACATAATTGCTCAAAACGACCAGTCGGGTCGTTACATCTAATCACAAAACAATCACGAAAATACAAATACCACAGTAAAAATAACTAATTAATATTTTTTATAACAACTAATAACATTAATTATTCATAGAATAATAATTTCTCTATTTTACTAATTTTTTTATCACAATAATAATATAATTCGGATAAAAAATAATAAATTAATTAAATCGCAATGGAATCACGAAATAACATAGAATACAGTAAAATATAACTAATAGATATTTTTATACATGAGTTTTAACAAAAAATAAGTCAGAATACCTTGATTTTATTTTTTTTGGAAAGTTGAAGATTTGAGGATTTGGAGTCGAAACGAGCAATATATATAATGTTAGCTTGCTACAATACGGAGAATCTACACTTTTTAAGGGACCAGTGGGCTCTAATCGAACTTTTTTCATTAAAATTGGGGGGGGGGGACCGCCGGTTTTTTAATCAAAAAGGGTTGTTGGTTCGTCTAGCGGGGAAGGAGAAGGGCACATTTATTTATATAGGTATAGAAACCATATATACCGCGCTATACTATAGCGCGGTATATATGGGCTCTATACCTTTCTGCCCATTTTAAGTTCAAATAAAGCGCGGTTATTCACCGCGCTATGCCTTAACAGACAAACGTGTTGTTAAGGTATAACGCGGAGAATAACCGCTCTATATATATTGTGATGCCCAATTTTTTTTTACCTATTATGGTCGCTTGAGTCCAAATGAACCACACTTTAGTGCCGGACTCCCCTAAGTTGGGTTAAGTTGCTTTAGGTTTAAATTTCTTTCAACTTCCATATTGTCGGTCAAATGTTATCCTCATGGGCTGCTCAATTTTTTTTTCCTTTCATTTGTGTTTTTGGAGTGAGGGTGTGTGTGTGGCAAACTGTGTGTATGAATCGCAGGAGAGTAGAAGATAAAAATAGAACTCTATGATGCAGAGACCAGATTTGAATTACAACTACCATATTGAGACATTAATCTTCTATTGATAGTGTGTAGGTATCACAACTTCACGTCATACCTCAAATAATTGTTTCTAAACAAAATAGTTTATAAGAAAAAACTAAATGCATGATATATGGATGCCCATATAATTTTATACGATATTTTTTTTAAAATATTTGTTAGTTAGAATGAGAGAGATGCCCGGTGGTTGTCACATCCTTATCTCAAGCCAAACCAAAATAAGGCATGTTAAAGCCGTGTAAGTCTTGTATTTCTTACAAGCTACAACAAAAATAAGAGTTTATAATCAATAAGACATTTCTGTATAAATAAAATATACACATGGGAAGGTGTTTCTGCAATATGCAATCCCAATTATCAGCTCAAAAATTAATGAAGGCTTCTTTACTTTAATGATTGTGATTGTAATTAATATTCTTCACCAACCATAATTTAAAGGCATCATCATTTTTGGTTCATACGATGTTCATCTCTATTTCCAACTTTCACTTTTGCTTTTGGCTATCGCCAACTTAAAATACTGAGCAATCAATATCTCATCAAACAAGAGTAAACATAACTGAATGGAGCAGTAGCTGTAGTTCTTTTTCTTCTCATAATATATAATAGTACTCTATAATCTATAGAAGCGAAAAAGCTATTTTAACTAAAGGCAGTTAAATTATATAAATATCTTAACAATTAATTACACATACAACGTGGACCAACACCGTATGATGTTTTTATCTAATCATAGTGAATATTGTAATACCTTTTGCAAGCCAAGCATAGAAAAGTTACATCTGTATCATTTGCTGGTTGGAATTCACAATCTCAATGATTGTCAGGCCTTTATTATTAGTTTAACCACTAGATAAGTTAGCTGGTTAAAATGAGAATAACTAAATTTTTGGACCTTGATAAATTCCTGTAGGCTCTAGGGTTTATCATAAACAGAAATATTTTAGTGAAAAATAAGAGATATTTTGAGTACTCATCCATATTTGTCACAATTAATCTCCTAATCACCCACTTAAAAAAAATGAAATGGATGCAGTGACTAAACACTTGGCACAAAAGAAAAAATTGAAGAGGAAGTAATGTGTAAAAATGGCTTTGGATGAAATTGCTGAAAAGATTTTAAAATAGGATACATTTACCATCGATGCATATTAATCAGTTTTCTAAATTCACAAAAACATATCACCTATAGGGGCTCAACCAATGAGATTGTGTGACCTTTACTCTGTTTTTGTTTTACATATACGTGTGTGCTCTATCAGAGAAGAACCTAGTTCTTCTAGGTGTTCTAACTACCACTGTTGCGGAATTAAAAGTACAGAAAATAAAGAACACAGAGATTTTTACGTGGAAAATACCTGGCTCAAAAGGTGAAAAAACCACGACCTACTACTCAATAGGATTTTCCCAAATATCCACTAAAATCACTGAGCCAAAACAACATTTACAAAAACTCTTTGTAAACCTAAGGATTAACTCTAATCCCTGTGTAGCACACAACCTCAACTGTTGCGACACCTTCAAGTTAGCCTATAACTTGAACACTCAAAGTACCTATTACAAATACTTCTATGAAAGCTGATAAGGTACATTTTTAAACCACCTACTACAATTGAACTAGAATAAGAATAAACACAACGGAACTAGTTCTTCTATTTCGTTCAAGTAGCTTCAGGTGTGCACACTTAAATCTCACATAAATTGCTCGCAAAATTGCCTTGCTCGTTTGCTCTCAATTTAGTTTAACTTCTGCCTATGTGCAACACCTGTAAAAGAGAACGATCACTGTTATTTAATGAGTTAGTAATCAGAGTTTGATTGAGACTCAATTGCTGATCTTCCATCGAAGATGAGTCCTTGTTCAATACAAACTCCAACCGTATCCTTTATCCGGATTGTGTCCTCTTCCCATAAGAAGACTTTCTCTCCTCATCCAATATGCAACCTTTTCGATCAGTTCAGGAGATATTGCTGCTTGATCACCGAGACTTATCTCCTTCACGTGTATCTCACATGTCTAGGTTGATAAATATTGTGCCTCACATGATGGACCTGGTCCATGACTGAGTTCATTTGTCATTCTTCAAAACTTCACCTGAACTTGAGCCAACAAATTCCCCCTTTTTGATGATGACAAAATCTGTGCTTTTACTAATCAAAGAACCTGTAGGAACTCAGCTTGACCATCAACACATTAACTTAGAATTTTAACTTATCATCAAGGACCAGGTTTAATTAGGTTATAAATATCACATTATTCAGAATAAAGAGTAAAGCACAATATCTCTTCCCCCTTTTGGCATCATTGAAAAGTTGCATACATTGTGAATCCCAGATTTTAGTAATTACTCATGGCCACTTGGGCAACTGCAAGTGAAAATATGGATGAAATCATCAATAATCAACAAACATATTCAAACTATTAAGATCGAAATCTTCATAGAACAAGAGAAATAGCAGTTGTCATTGAGCAGATATGTTTCTACCAACAAACCACAAAAAGAAAGAAAAACTTCTAAAACATGAGCAAAAAAAACAGAAAAAGTCCCTAATCTGGGTCACTGAGGGTACTAGACTGGTTCAGAAGACAACAACTGGACATCCTAAGGCTTGGATGGACTAGAGGACTGGGTTTGGAGAAGGTTGAGCATATTCTGAAGCATCCCATCACTCTTCTCCTTTTCTTTTGCTAGCTATGTTCTAAGGACATCTCTTTCAGTTTCCAGTTCAGCTACACGAGCCTGGAGCCTAGCAATTTCAGCATCCTTAGATCCACACTTTTGAACCAAAGCCCTAACCTTGCTGTTCACAGGTGTCTTCAGAGATGAACCAGGTTCAACTAGGGTGGCATTGACTGGATAGTCACAAGCCAGAAGAGTCTTGACACCAAAGTGTTCCTTGCTTGATGCCATCCCCCATTTGTTCAAAGGCACATTCAGCCTGTCCAGAACAGTATTCAATATGAACCCATATGGGGAGGCATGAGCCTTGGAGCCATTTATGACCCAGTAATTTGACAATAAAGGCAGGCCAATTGATCTGCATTTCTCTCACAAGGAACTCCATAAGAACCAAATCCATATAGTTGGCAGTGTGCCTCCTCTCCTGTATGGGCAATATGCACTTATTAACAAATTCAAACAAGACCTTGTGCTCAGGCCTCATCTCACTTTTCTGCACAAATCTGGTTTCAGGCACATCTTCAGTAGTTGTAGCATCACAAAAATTCCTAGTGATTTGAAGAGCATTAGGGAGAGAATCTAGACATGGCTACCTTTGCCTTGTATAATCATCATACCCCTCACTAGGTATGTCTAGAATCTTACCCAATTTGAGTGCATCAAACTGCACCCTTACTCCTTTCACCAGACTGGTGACTACCCTATTCTTCACTGTGGCATTGGCCATAAACTCAATCAATTCTTTCCTAGCCAGCCTCCCATCCATTTCAAGGACCATGTCCTTCCAACCTTATGCAGTTAGGACATCCACCAGTCTTCTCATTCCTGGCTCATCCAGGTCTCTCAACAGTCTTCCTTTCAAAAAATTTCTTCTGCCAAAGATGGCAAACCTATCTTGTTCCTTTTCAGATTCCTTTTCTTCTTCTTCTCCACTCCATTCTTCTTCTTCCTCAGTAATTTTTATCTGCTTACCTTTTACTGCAGATGTGGTTCTTTTGGCTAAAGAGGGATCAGCACATACAGGTTCAGAGGAAGACTTCTTGGAAGAAGCCTTTACCCTTTTTGGTTTGGGTGTAGGAACCTCCACAGTTGTTCCCCTTTCTTGATGAACCAGTTCCATCTCTTCTTCTTCTTCTTCTTCTTCTGCAACCTCAGAACTTTCCGCAACCTTTGTTTTCCCCTTCTCCTTCCTTTTCTTCTTACTTTCTTCCAGAGCTTTCTGTAACTCAGCTTCCCTTTGTTTGACCCTACTTCTAGTGGCTCTTCCCTTAAATACTGAAGGTACATTAGGTTTTGGGGTTGACATTTTGCTTTTCTTTGTTGGCTTGGAAGCAGTTGGAGCCTTTTGTGTGGAAGCTTTACACTTCTTTGGATCATAACTGGCCCCAACCCTCTTTAGAAGATCAGCTAGTGTTTCCTCAGCAGATGAACAAGGTTCATCTTGTTTCTTGCTTAGATGCACAAGCCCTTCAGCCGCCTCCCCAGAACCACTTCCCCCTAACTTGTTGCCACCTTCTTCAACACCTCCACAGATAGACAGAACTTTTTCTTTCCCATTTCCCCTCTAATCACCACTTGCTCACTCTCTCTCTTTTTTCTTTATTTTTACCTTCACTTCTACTAGATTCAACCCCCTTTACATCTTTGAAAGGACCAACCAAGACAAACATATTTTCTACATTTTCAACCACAGTAGAGAATACCACACAAGAACCTACCTCACCAAGGGCTTCTCGAATTTTGTCAGTGTCAGATGGCCCATGTTCTTCACTTTCGCTGGCAAAAATAAAAGCTTCAGACTCAGAGCTTGAGTTAGATTCTTGAGTAGGACTTTCCTTCCTATGGATAGCCTTCAATTTCTCATTTAGAACTTTTCTTAGAGCTCCAGAAGCTACAGTTTTTCTGGCCAACATTTTCTGCCTACGAAACCTAGGTTTTGGGGTTTCACTAGGGGGTGTAGATGAGGATGTATTAGAAGGGGATACTGGTGGAGGAGTGCTAGAATTATCTTGGGGGTTAGTCATGGTGGATTTTTTCTTGAGAAAAACTTGGGAATTTTTTGGAGAGAAGAAGGGCGATTAGAACTTGAGAAGAGTTTTGACGGTTATGGACTAATGAAGAAGAGGTGTGGTGTGTATTTAAA